AGGTGGATTGTAGTGGGAATTTACTCTGCCCATTATACAGAGAGATGAAGGGCAGAGTCAGGGCAGATGCCCTTCAGCCACCCAAGGTCACTGGCAGCATGAATTCCCACTACAATAGATTAGATCAGGAGCTATGGTATGAGGAACTTTTCTCACCCAAATAAACAACTTTTGTGTAACTATCAATAAATACACTTTTGCATGACCGTTTGAGGCTTAGTTCATATAAACTGTTCCTCCCTATGGCGATAGAGCCTAAAATTCCTCTTGGAGTGACCTTCTTTCACTGATCATCCCACACAACACACAGTATCTTATACCACAATGTGAAACAAGTAGCCCAGTCCTCTAAAAATGTCCATGGTCTCATAACAATGTACTTTGATGAGAGATCCCTCTAATTCTGAGTTTGTATTTCCAGGTGTTCAGCATTCTTCAGAGCTGGTATGCCCTTTTACTTGTGACAATTATGACAGCACAGGTAAAACCTCAGAACACACCAGAGAAACCTGGTCCTCATTAGAATTCTGACAAATCTATTTCTTAGCTAGAATCTCCAAAGAAACTTGTGTAAGTCTCAAGTCTCCTCCTCAGCTTATGAAGATGGGCATAGATATACACAGAGAATTGGAAGCAACAATCAGGAGACAATCTATGAAGAAATGACCAAACAGTGTGTATGTGTGGTAGTTCTATGTCTACTTTATTGAGCAAAGGGTAGACTGTTTTTGAAAGTGGCATTTCTATCTTTAACTCACACAAGCAATGTACAATACTGTCCCTTTCCTCAAGTTCATGTCAGCATTTATTATTTATTCTGGCTATGGCCATTCTGCCTGGGCCAAGATGGAATCTTATGGAGATTTATTCTGCATCTCCCTGATGCAGTTGTGTATGTAGAAGTTTTTGCCAACATGACTTGGGAAGTATCCAAGCTAACTGCATGAACATGAGTGTACAAGCATATCTGATGCTTCCTGATTTTAACACTTCTAGGCAATTATATTGGAAATGCTAAAAGAAATGGGTGAATGAATATCCTGTTTCATACCACATACCAAAATTACATCAGCATGATAATTAAGCAGCATCAACAGTGAACAGCAATTTACGTACTCTACTCCAGAAGCAGATTGATTCATCACAGAATTGTGTCAAAACTTCAGAGAATAACGGATACTGAAGTTACTTAAAGTATTCCTTGATATAAAAAGGAAGCAAGGCTTCCAGACTTTTTATGAAGCTAGTATTCCCTGTTTCCAAACCAGATAAAGACAAGAAAATAAAATTACATACTGTTGTGGTCACTTCAAGTATCATTAGGATTATTAAGATTATTATTATTATTATTATTATTATTATTATTATTATTATTTGCCCTTACATTTAAAACCCTTCTTATAGTGCAGACTCTCATCCCCAACTACCTACAATCTTTTTCCATAGTTCCAAGTAATCTCTCTCTGTCTCTCTCTCCCTCAGGTTAATTTCTATTTATTTTGTTTTTGACCCATCAAGATTAACCAGGGCCATCTCTAAGACAGTGGGTTTGGAGTTATGTGTCAGAAGATTCCACAGAGGAGACACAGCTAAAGACAGTGATTCCCCTTCTCCTAAAGTCTATCCATGGCCACAGTTGAGAGGTAAAGGTGAGGTCCTATGAGCCTCTCCCTTTGGTAGACTGATTGTGGCTATGGCTGGTCTTGAGTGAGGCCAGTGCAGGTTGAATACAGTTGCTCTGGGTTACTGATTACTATAGTTGTGTGGAGTCTGGAGAATGTCATGTTATGTCCATTCCCCCTCTTCCCCTTCTTATTTCCTTCCCTCCTCTTCTTCCTCAATATTCCCAGAGCCATAGATGGAATGGTGTAACTGACTTGTTTAGGCTGTGGCCATATTACAATGCTTATTTTCTGCTTCTTAGACAGCCAAAAGTTTCTATATTCACCACTGAGTTTTCAAATTGAATTATTTGTGCTTTATATAAAAGACCCTTTATCATGCTTTCTAGGAGACAAACTGGTTTCTCTTAGTAAAACCACAATTTCACAATCTAGCAGTGAGAGCAGAACAGCACAGGATGAGTTTAGCACTAGGCTGTTAATGGTCTGACTGACCACTAACTTCCTGAGACACCCATTTCCTTTCAAAATCCTGAGTTCGTGAAATGTCTTCCCCCAAGTCAACGTTGATAATAGTGTAATTCTGGATATTTGAGTGGCAGTAGTGGAGGTCTGTGAGGGAAGGATAAAGATGGCTTTTTAGTGTCACTTCATTTGCATAGTGGTGGAAATGATTATCCAGCTTCCCAGAAACATTCACCAGAGTGAGTTACAAAAAAAAAAAAAATTAGAATATTTCATATAAGAGTAGAATATGCTGCTGGAATTTCACTTTTACCTTTAACCTATTATTTGCATGGAACATTTTATTATTTTCTTTGACTAAACTATCCAGCTCCTCTACCTTGTCTTCAAGTCTGATAATCTGTTTCCTTTCTGATCTCTGAGTTATTAGGATTATTGCACTTCTCATTTCTTGTTTTGTTTATGTATGTTTAACTAATGCATTCATTTTTCATATCCTACAGTGTCGTCATTTCCTACAGGCACTAGCTAGTGTTTCCTTGCCCATGAATCATTTTGTTCCTAGCCTCTTTGAGTTGATTCCCATGCTTTACATGATTTTACCTCCTTGAACATGCTCATCTTTTTCTGTATAGTGGATCTCGTTTAAATTGCTCTCCTTAGGGGTTTCAGATATAGTTTATGATTTGAGTCAAATGCTTTTTAATCTTAGTTTTAATTTGTGTTGGGAACTGGACTTGAGCATCAGAATTTAGAGTGTCTGTTGTCTTTTTCTGTGCATTTTTAACCCAGGAGACTGTTATCCCAAGATAAGAAGTTAGGCAGGAAAGCTTGTATCTGAAGGGTTCAGTACTAATTGTTGGGGTCAGATATCCGCGTGCAGCGTCCTCCTAGATGCAGTTCTGGTCCAGGCTGGCAGCGAGCATGTGGGGAGGCTGTGCAGAGCGGGTGCAGGGCAGCCTGACAGCTGGAGCTGTGTGGAAGGCAACCGGAGACCGAGTGGGAGGGACGGGTCTCTGATGTGGCTGGAACACGGCGTAATCAGAGAGGTTTAGGGGAAAGAACCTGTGGGGGCGGGAATAATTGGTAAACTAATGAAAAAAAAGAGCCTGAGGTAGGCGGATTTAGAGGAAACGCATAACCGGAAGCGGGGTGTATTGGGCGGGGCCAGGAGGTGCTGCTCCAAGGAATGAGGTTGAAGTGCCAGGAAATATCACCCTTCCCTGTTGGACTCGGGGAGCATCGTGGTCTGGAACTGCATGAGCAAGACCCGGCCAGGTATTCGGGGACCTGAAATCTCCCCGGAGCCGCAGTCGCCGCGCGGGGCGGCCTGGGAAAGTCACCAGTCAGCAGCGCAGTGGCGGGAACCGCAGCCCGGAGGCCCTGGAACCTCCCAGGTCAGAGGAGCTGCGGGGCTGGGACACGGGAGGGGAGGGACCGGGGTGCGCGCGCGGAGGCTGTCCAGGACACTTTCGGCTCCCCCTGTCCTGCCCGGGGACGTCGGGGAATCTGCGGCAGCTTACGACATCACCTGCGGTCAGGTGCGGTCGTTTCCCCGCACTACAAGCTGCATGCTTCCCTGCGCGCCTCGTACACCCTTAAAAGTGTTCATCCATCACAGTTCTCTCTTGCTCCTTGCTTGCTCTCTTACCTGTTCTCTGTCTGTCTGTCTGTCTCTCGTGTCCCCACTCCGAGACCGCCTTGTGCTCTTGTGCTCATGCTCTTCCTCCAATAAACCTCACCCTAGACCTGTTGTATGTGGCGCGTTCTCTTAACGGCCCACCCTGGCCGGCCGCCTTTTCCGTACAGACACAGCTTTCAGTATTATGTTACCGATATCTTTTCCATTGTCAGTAAGTTTGAGATCCCGTGAAGTGGGTCTTATCGTGATTATTTTACACTTACCTTATGTTGCCAGACTATTCTGTCATAATATAAATCATAAAATAATCCAGGAGAGCATTTGCATTGTCCGATGTTTGCAAACAGGATTCTCTTTGCTATGTGACAGTGTCAATAGTCCTGGAATTTAAATTCATCCATGCTTTCTAACTTCCCTGTTTTACCACAGGCCTATTTTAGAGAGTGGCACTTGCCCCTGAGACTAGGCATCCCCAGAGAGTTTGTGGCTAGTAATCACATGAGGAACCAGTGAGATACGATTAAACAGAAAATATGTTTTACGGAGTGCCCCAGATATGGTTGTAAACATTAAGCAAACCTTTTACTCCCCATTAATTTTCCATCTGAGATATATGCAGTCTAGAATGTAAATACAGCATTCAGAAATGTGTCTTCATATACTTACTGTGTTCTTACGTTACACCTTAGGTCCAGCCAAGCCCAACATGCATGCTGTGAGAGTGTATTTTATACTATTTTATTTAACTATTTTATAGTTACCAAATACACTTTAAACAGTATTATTTTATAATATTTATGATCACTCACCTGTATCAGAAAAATGTCTCTTTCATTGAAGAAAAGTATTCTTCCCATGCACATATAACACAAATGTTGTTTTTTTATTTTAGGGTTTGTTGACCTTCATTGGTGTGAATGTGGACTTGGAGGAGGAGTGGGAATGTCTAGACCCTGCTCACAGGGCTTTTTGCACAGATCTCCTGTTGTAGAACTGCAGCAGTCTGGATTCTAAGGATGAGAATAGTTTTCTGGAGTCTCCCTTGCTTCTTCTCAGGGTTCCTGGGAAAACTATGGTGCATGTGTGTGTGCTGTGTGTGAATGAGTCTCACATCTCACAGAGTAAAGTGAAATCCTTAGAGAAAGAGACATTTTTCCTGATATTTTCTCTTTCCTTGATTTTTTTTCCCTTTTGTCAGGTGTTATCATCTTTTGTATTTCCTCCTTGCAAAGTTCCAGGTGCTTTCTGAAGAATCTCTTTCTCCTATGCAGTCTCACAAGGTCGGTCAGTCCTGCTCACCTGTGGATCAGAACAAAGAGCCCTGGATGGAGAAGAAAGAGGAGACAGTAGCAAAGGATCCAGGTGTGTTAGAGGGACTGAGGAGGGGTGAAGAGATGCGGAAGGGCTGAAGTGACAGTAGAAAGAGGACATGAAGTTGGTTTTGCCACATTCTGTTTAATTCTAAATGATTCTAGAGAAGTCCACTGAGAATAATCTCAGGATTGTCCTATTGTCGGTGTTTGAAGACGGTAGGAAAGTTTTAATACTCAGAGGTAAATATAATTTTATTTGACTTTGCACAGGAGTGATGCTGTCCTTTTCCATTTCCATCTCTGGTTGTGTTTTTATACCACGTTAAGTGGTTTCATTAGTATAGTTTTAATATGGTGTTTGGTTAGAACCATTTAAGCCTCT